GAGCTGGGAGGGCTGGGTGAGGTGGGTGAGGTGGGAGAGGTGGGAGAGGTGGGAGAGGTGAGAGGAGATCCCCTCACTCCCAGCTGAGCCAACGGAAATCCACTCTACTCCCACCCTACTCTCACTCTACTCCCCGGGTCCGTACTGCCGATCTGGGCTTTCCCTAAGCCCTATATTCCCACAAGTACATACAAATATAAACATACATGCATACGCGACCGATGATGGGAGGTAAAGTGCCCCTAGTCGATGCACGGTGGTGACCTGGGATAAAATGAACTTGCGGGCTGACCAGGAATGGAGTTGCGCCGCCTTTGATCCGGCAGATTCCTTTGATGCCGGTGTTGGGTACGGAACCTGAGCAATCCAGTGAGAAGTTGGCTAGTGTGACTGGATGAGGGTGCCACGAAATACCGGGGAAGGCAGGGTCTGCCAGGTAGTGGCCGCAGGGTGAAGATATGACCCCTTGTCCCACACGTCATACATACGCACATGCAGGTCCTTCTAAGCAGCACGACCTTTGCAGAGCTGCGACAGGAGGAGTCGTTAGGCGCCCGCCATAAGGCCGCCGGTGGAGGCGGTGGCAGTAGCCGTGGCAATCGCCATGGCAGTAGCAGTAGCCATTCGACCTGCCGTAGCAGTGGCAGCAGCCAGCTCCTAGTGATACATATGGGGCAACATGAGCTATTAGAAGGCGAGGAAGTGGGGCTGGCGCCCCAGCAAGTGTACCAGGCGGTGGCGTCACCGCTGATGGGCCGATTGGCCTTGCTCCCGCCTCTGAAAGTCAGGTGGGTATGTGGCGTGCTGCAGCTGTTCATGGTGAGGATGATGATATAGATGGTAGGGGAGTGCGGGGGAGGGGGAGGGGGAGAGGGAGGGGGAGGGTGACAAACCTAAATCCAAATCCAAACCCAATGCGCTCATATCCTCCTCCGAAACCTACTCAGGACAACCTTCGCCCCGGGGGTGCTGGAGGCCCCTGTTGGCGCGGCGGCCGTTGCCTTCTCGTACACTGTGGGCGCAGACAGCCTCATGTCGTGGGACGCTAATGTAGCCCGGCAGGCCCTGAGCCTCCTAGAAGACACGTTCGCAGAGGAAGTGATGCGCGTCAACGCAGCAGGCGCTGGCGGATATATCGTGAGTCCGACGGCCGAAGTAACACGTACCTACATAGCTTGTATTTATGTACAGGATGCACGTCCAGGCGGTAGTTGTACTGCGCATGCACAGTACATCGTGGAATGCGGTATGGATAGCAGCAGCAGCAGCAGGACCAAGGATATATAGCAGCGACAGCAGCAGTAGTAGCAGTAGCAGTAGTATTAAGCTACAAGTTCCGCACGAATACGGGGATGTCCGTCAAAGCCTGATTGGGGCCCATGGACCAGCAGTGCAGTAGTGGTGTAGCAGAAGGGTCGTATAGCTTGCTTGATGCCAGCAACGACATGTCTATTTGCAATAGTTCATACCACACACACCCAGCAGCAGTAGGAGCAGCAGCAGCAGCAGCAGCAGCAGAAGGAGCAGCAGCAGCAGCAGTAGGAGCAGCAGCAGCAGCAGGAGCAGCAGTAGCACGTGTGTGGCATCTGGCTCGTAACTCACGCTCAGCCCGTGCTGGGGGTGCTTGGTGCCATGGCCCATGGCAAATTCCCGACGACCCTGCTGCTGCTGCAAAACTACTGACGCCGCTGCTGATGCTGCTGGTGCCTTTGCACTTACCATTGCCCGTACCACTGCCGTACCATTGCCGTACCACTGACGTCGCCAATCCTCTTATTGTTTTAGGCGGAAGCCAGTGGCGGTTTGCTCCTGACGGCGTTCACTGATCCGACCTTGGCGGTCTCATGTTGCCTGGCGGTGATGACGGCCTTGCCGGGGCTTTCCTGGCCGGGAGCACTACTGGGCCATGCTCTTTGCGAGGAGCTGACGGTAGCTGGGCTGGACGAGACCTGCCAACCCGTGGAGCGCGTGCTGTTCAGAGGACTTCGGATCAAGGTAGGTGCGCATAGAGGACCAGTTGGGAGCGGTCGGAGCTGCAGAGTGGGATGGTTTACCACCTTCACAGGGTTTTACCTTTTCATCTCGCATCGTGTGCATATGTATGTCTGTGTTTGGATAGCAGGGATGTACATGTGTATATAGATCTGTTTTTTAATGTGTGTACGGTGTTATTACTCTAAAGGATAGTGCATGGGTTGTGCTAGGGGTTAAGGGAAAAAAACCTAAACCCCGTTTTGTGTTACATGTTGCGTATATTGTGTGTACCGCGATTGGGGCTGATAATTTTCAATGCGCATCTTGGTGTGTTTTGTTATTGTTACAGAGTTTGAGACTTCCGGGGGATCAACGTTTGGAACACATTTGGATTGTCATGTTTATCTAGGATTGAACACCACCACAGCAGCACCATCCACCATATTACAACACTGTACTATATGCCATACGAACTGCAAATTCAACGCGGTTACTTATGCCTTCTAGGAGCCCTCCTCATCGTTTTATCCGAACTTCAACAGAGGAGGGTTTAACAGTCACCACCAATCCAGCTTGCGAATCTCGATCCATCAACTCTAACCTCAGCTCCGCATCTCAGCAGCTAGCCATAAGCCCACGCGCCGACGATGTTCCACCCAGAAGAGATCTACCCAGAAATCGACCTCAGGAACATAAATGGCTCTTCCAGTAGGTCTCCAGACCAGACCGTATGCGTATCTTGGTATGTATATCTATAAATGTGGGCTGTGCCTGACCCAGTGTTTACTACCTGGTTGCAGGCCGGATTGGATTATGGTCCCGTCAGGGCCGCCGTCAACGCCGCCACGGGCCGCCTGTCGTACAGAGGCCGCGTCATGAACCGGGCGGCAAGGATAGCCGGCAAGGCCACGGCTGGGCAGGTTGGTGGGGAGCTGGCGTGGGGCTAGGGCCGGGGTAGGCTGGCTGTGGCTCCGTTGCTGCGGCACCTGGGGTTTTCTCACGTGCCGTGTTGCCGAGGGGTTGCGTTGGGTTTGGCTTTCCGTGCCAGGAAGTTTCATGCTGTGGTGGCGCTGCCTCTTCTTACCATACATATATACTTGAATCCAGCTTTATTGTCTGCGGTGATATCATTTCGTTCTCTGCGCTTTCCCTATCGCTGTCTCCCCTCCCCTCCCCTCC